AATAACAATAAAATAAATAAATCTGATATCCGCATCAGTTTGAGGTAGTTTAGTTTGCTTGATTACAAAGAAGGTAACTCGTTGAGTTGGATAAATAATTTCGTGCTTGTCTGTTAGTTTATTTGGTTAAATGGGGAGGAAAGACGTATGGTTGAATATAGAATGTGTGCCTGTTATAACTTATTCGATAAACCTTAACTTGAACTTTTTTGCATTAAATGAGATACTACCAAGATGAGGTTGTGTGGTAATATGCTTGCTTCTTGGTGAGTTGTAGACAACATTTCAATTAGCTGTTTGGCTGAGTTCCTTTTATGTATTCATATGTTCGACACTGTTTGATACTTTCATTGCTCTTTCCCTAAACTTTTGACTTCATTTCTATGTGATCTCTTTAATTTCAATGTTATTTCCTTATTAAAACTGTGTATTTATCAGTCATTTAATGTTTGTCGAGTCCATGTAGAATTTGGCAAATCCAACTGCTTTGCTTTTGAGCGCCGTCACAATGTTGCGCCATCTGGAGCTTCACGATAAAGCGGATAGAATCCAGGATGCTGTGTTGAAAACGATAGCAGAAGGGAAGTATAGAACAGGCGATCTTGGTGGTAAATCAAAGACAACCGAGTTCACCAAGGCAATTTGCGACCATCTCTGAGAAGTGTTGGGCATGTGTATATTCGGTTTTTTTTCAACAGGAAGAAGTTTCCAGCTATATTTTCTTTCAAAAACTATTCCCATTAGCTTATGGCTTCGTAAGAGGATCGTCCACTAATGTTACTTATCAAAGAGAAATAAGTCATGTCCATGTTCGTAATATTCTTGGGGCTTTGCTAAATCTTTCTTAAATTGATGGAAAGTAATTAATTTGTTGAAAGAATTCCTTATTTGCTCTCGCTTTTTTTTTTTTTTTGTGAATTGTTTCCAGATTCTAATAATTTTCAACCTAACCTACTTTTAACTTAATAATTATATTAATTATTATGATTGCTATTCTTTTTTAGTACATTTTCAGAATCGTTAACATTACCTATCAGTTGCCAAAGCATGTTTAGCTAAAAGTTAAAACTTTCCTCTTAAATAAGTAACTTTTTTGCCTACTTGGAAGCAAGTTATTTGTTGAAACAAAAGGCAATTTAAAAGTGTATCTTGCCAAACATGTCTAGAAGCTTTCTTAGGCTTTTGGAATCTCTGAACAATTACCCATGACAACTATTAACAAGTTTCTTTGAGCAACTTTTAAATTGAATTTCCACGGAGTGAAATGCATATACAAGAAGGCGAACCCCCCCTCCCTCCCCTCTCCAGTATCGGCAAATTTTACAATTCAATGTTCAAGTTCAAAATTTCTATTTTACAATTGAATGTTTGAAACCTGGGAAAAAGAAACAAGAAACAGTATCCGTCTATGTTGATATTCAGAATTTCACGTTCTGTCTAAATCCCAGAAATAGGGAGAGCTGGCATATGAAACATCTCTAAACAGGAAGAGTTAAGCTATTTGTACCACCTCCTTTACCACTTGGTTTACAGATGAATGATGTGGCAGATGGATGATGGTTGGATTAAATGTGTGAAATGTGAAAGGTGATGTGAGATTTTGCCAAGTGCAAATTAGGTAAACCAAGGTGTAAAGGAAGATGTACATGTAGCAAGATTGAAACAGGAATTGCTCGCCATGTGGAATTGCAGGAACTGATGTGAAAACATGCTGCATTTGTACAGATTGACTTATGGGTGGTGGAAAATTTACCCCTGTGCTTGGAGAAGACAAGAGGTTGGGTCTTGAGATTGAAATAGCTCTCATACTTCTATGATGTGGAGCCGGGGCCCTGAGTTCATATCCAGCCACAAGGTTTCCTGAGAGAGAAATTCGGGTTGGAAAATGTGTTGCCCGCTGTCAAGAGACCGGGTGAAGTCCTAGGAAGCTGTACTGACAAGTGATCATGGGTGGACTATTCATTGAGATAGTATTTGCATCAGCGGACTGACCTGTTAATGTTTGAGTGTGAAACCCTGCAATGCTCGAGTTACAGATGCTGAGCCAATGATTGTCAGGCTCTCTGAAGACATTTCTGGTCTGGGAGTAGTTCCAGAAGTTTGCTGGAATGATGATGAATAGTTTGCTACCTCTGTAAAAGTTACGAATTGTTGAACAGGCTTATGAGGCCTCCTCTAGAGGTTGAATGGTCGATGCTTGGTCCATTGCTCCAGGAATTTGCTGGACAGATGACATACAGTTCACCATCTTCGCTATAGTCACAGGTTGTGGAACGGTTAATTATGCAAGGGCTTAGCGACAGTTCATCAGGTCTTGAGACTATCCTTGCAGAAGCTGATGCTTGGTTCAATGCCTGAACTATTGAGAGGCCAAGTGAGCTTGTTATTGGCAGATTTCTGGTTCTATGTTCCGATCCAGTTACAGTCCTTGGTCCAATCTGCCGCAAAACTACTTGATACACTTCATCCATCAACGAGTTTGTGGTCACTGCAAAATAGAGGAGTATGTCATTGCTACCTTATGAAAGCGAGAAAAGTGTTATAAGATGAAGCAAATTTGAAATTAGCAAGTTTAACAGCTTAAACTTCAGTGAGATGATCTGCCAACACTAAATACTGCAAAATTGCAATATCATTTACCAATGTGATAGTATAGACCCCCGAGTTACTCATTCAAGTTTGTTATGCCATATTCTAGAGTGTTCTAATTCCAATTAGTTATCAAGGGTAGTTTGGGGAATAAGGGAGGAAGTAGTAGTATAAATTTAATAGGAGAGGGAGCAGAAGGGGGATGCAAATATTGAGTAGTGGTTGAGCCAATTAAGAGAGAATCCAGCCTCTCGAATGTTGGAAATTGTTCATTTACATTCTGTGAAAATATCAATACAATCTTCAATACAATTGTTCTTGGTTTACAAATAATTTCATCAATCCATCTATACTACATCTCACTCCAACAAATACTAACACATCAAATCCTAGTTTCACAGCAACAGCATCTCTTCTACGCAGCTGGTTTGCAGATTTCCAGGAGCAGCCATTAATTGAGCAGCAGAAACTGGGGATCCTATCACAATGCTTACCACTGGGCATTTCTTGTGAGCAAGTTGCACCTGTTACATCTTGGTTCTGCATCAGTGTCTCAGCTAATACTTTATGTAAACGTTGTTGTAGCTTGTCTCAAGTGTTACTTTCTTCACCACAAATTCCGTCTCAGCAATATGAAGCAACAAATCATACTTTCTACTTATCCGATCGATCTCCTCCTCTAGAGATAATTTTAGTCATAGTTTCTACAAGTTGATTACGTCACAGAAGATATAAGAACTTCTCTGGTATGGCATTAACAATGAAAAATACAGAAATGAAACACAAAAAACAAGATAGACAAACCATATCATCAGGCAATTTTAAATTTTCGTATTTAACCTTCTCTTTCCAACTCCCGCTGGAGAGATAAACAGACGGATTGTTGTGCCTCAGAATGTGTCAGTCGATTGGCTTCTGGAGGGTCATTGTTCCCAGACATTAGAGAAGCATTTGTGGTTCCAAGATTAGTAACAATCGGTTCACTGCCATCTCCTGTCATTGCTAATGGCATGTTTGATGAAGGTTGTAGAGGCTCGTTGCAGGGGTGTTATAAAACTGTAGATAACAGAACATTCAATTTTCTTAGATACAAATAATCACAACAGAAGATCCTTACATAATTTACTGTAAAAACAAAATTTTTGACATTTG